TCACGTATAAGTATTTTTTTATTAGTAAATAAAAAGATAAAAATAATCAGCAACCTAATTAAAGGTGAGCTCGATAACGTGACCAAGAAACTATAATTCGAAAGAAGATTAGTATTAGTTAAGAAAATCCATAGACCCAACTTCAAGAACTAAGTTAATCCTCGCCTCTTTCAAGCCTTCCAAGTTAGGGTTACACTTTAGTTGGGTTTTTAGATTACTTCGGATTATTTGTATAGATTAATTAGTCCCGAACCTTTATGTAACCAGACCTCCGGACGAGTTCTATCGAGAACCGCTTTGGATCATTACACCGGTCTCAATAGGATTATCAGTCCGGTTCAGTAGTCCTCAGTCTCAGAAATAAACTATTTCACGTGAGTAGATTAGGGTTATAGATTATGGGTAATATTTTATCCGGTTCTTACAGTTGTTCTCATAAATTCTAGATAAAGAATTGATGCCGATTTTGATACCGTAAATTTTTTTCTATCGGCCGATAAAAAAAATTTTATCGAAGTTGACATCAATTTTTTATCTAGGATTTATTAGAACAACTGTAATCAGTCTTCACAGGACCGATCCAACCTTAATTGTAACCAACCAAAATTAATTTTTACTAGGGTTGAGTTTTATTGGGCTGACTCAATCTTCAACCACTTTGTTAAATTAGGCTTACTCTAGAATACTACGTACTCACCAGTTTGCTCCAAACTTATAAACATTTTTAACACACTCTAACTTGAGTTGGGATTAACCTGGAGTGGCTACAGTATGATTTTTTAACGTATACTGTATTATATATTATTTCATATACAGCATTGTTTTTTAAACGGTAGATTTTTTTCAATTCTTAATACAAATATGGAAATCGATAGTGTCTTAATGACCTATAACATGTGAAAAGAATGATAACCCCTAAATATATAATGATAAGAACCGAAAGATTCGCATATGAATTTTGTAGATCTATGCATCTTAGAACGCCTATGTGTAAAACGTCTTAAAAATTTAAAATGCATATAAGAATTAAAATTCAATAAAGCAAGAAAGAATTTCAAGTTCTATTTTCAATTATATCTTGAAAAAAATATCTCTCTTGAATTCGATTTGTAGCTTTAATAACCTGTATTGAGATTCAATTTGTAGTTTTAATAACCTGTATTGAGATTCAATTTGCGAAAAAGAATTACATCGTAACATCGATCCGCTTATTAACTGTTAAGGCTTGGATTCTCGCGTATAAGAGGCAATTGTAGGATTAAAAAATATTTGTGGAATTTGTATAATTGCTTGTCCAAAAGTTACGTGACATACATTAAAGAATCTCTCGATGATATAATCATTCATAACATTAATAAATTTCTCTTAATTAAATACATTATTCTTAGAAGTATCGATTCTAACATAAGCACTCGTTGATAGGATATTGAATATTAATTGCTTCCCTATAATCTTTATTATAATCTTTATTATAATCTTGATATCATTCAATCGATATTCCAAATTAAGTTGCTAAATTCGTAATTTCACGTAATTTCCCTAAAATTATTAGAATTGTGGAAAAAAATATTATAGTAATAATGTATGTAAAGAAATGTTAAGGATTTCTTTTAACTATCTCTTATGCTTCATGCACTAGTTTACCAATCGGCTCAGTAATCATTCTCGCTTATCTCGCTTATTACTATACAGTCGTTATAAGTATTGTTTTCTAAATTTAATTACTAGATATTTTTAACCCTAGTTAATTAGTTTACTAATCATATTTATTTTCATGATTTATGTGAAAACTTGTTTTGAATTGACTCAAATCCCATTCATAATTTCATAACATGGCAATGTCTCTCTTGATCATATCTCACGTTTCGGCCGAGACATCTTACGTCTTGTAAATAGATTCCAAAAAAAAAAACTTTTTTTTAAAGGAAAATGATGTAATGTGATTTCCACATTCATAAATCAATGCAATTATGTAGTGTAACCATTTTACGAACCTTATTACGTATAATCAACATGTATAAGATCTATTACGTATTGCAAATTTGCGAAACCACTTAAAGAAAAAGCATTATTTTTTTTTATGAATTGAAAAATTTATACGATTAGTAATGAAGAATTATTATTGGTTGTCATTACTGATTCAGAATGGTCGAATAAGTCTAATATAGTACGAAGTCTTTTGTCATGCAGATCGATAAGCATTATGTATGTAGGTGCAGGAAGTACAGAATGTAAGGTTTGCTAATTTTTATATAACGTAAGAGAAATTTACTAATCTAAACTTGGCGAGCAATCTAATTTACCGTGAATCTGTGAATTTTGTTTTACTTGCATGTATCTATATTTTGATTAGCTCCCAATTATTTGGATTATTTAGTAAATTCTCGGTTTAGGTTTACTTAATATAGTCTAATAAATTTTGTCAGCTGAACAGGAAGCACAATTTAATTTAATCAATTTTGACTGATCAAGTGATAACATCTTAATAACATCTACTTTCTATTGGGTATAAAAGTTCCTATAACCGAATTTTTCTTTATTTATTTAACATGTTTATTATTATTATTATTATTATTTTACTTAATATTAGTATTATATATAGATATTATTTTTTTTATCACGAAATACTAAATTATCATTTGATAAAGTTCACACAGTGATTAAGTTATCTCAAATTCGAATGCAAACTTCGCAATTTTGTTTATGGTTAAAGCCATGCGATAAAGGCGTAAAATTATTAAATTGATTTAATTAAATTGATCATTTTTTGTGTATCATAACACTAGATAAATCAGATTAACAATTTATTAACTAAAGTAGTAAATCTATCTATAAAAGGGGAAAACTGATTTACGCATACATTTAGCTTTAAATGATGGATTATTATTGTTCCTCGAAAGGCTGTTATTGTTAAAGTGGTATATTCTTAACTAATCAATAATAACCACTCATTCATTCAATGAGAATGTAAACTATGTTTTACGTGATCATATATAGGTTGATATTTTAATATACTTCAACATTGTCAATTTTTTCTATTCCGAATTATCGAGCTCACCTTTAATTAGGTTGCTGATTATTTTTATCTTTTTATTTACTAATAAAAAAATACTTATACGTGA